ATTTAAAAACAAAAAATCCACAGATATAAATGAAATTGATATGGGAATTATAAAAGAAGTTATATTTTTTGTGAGACCATTGACATATATATATACATATGTATATATACATATGTGTATATATATATATATATATATATATATATATATATATATATATAACCTATCACTACATAAAGGTCATTTTCCTAAAACTATGAAGATAACAAAAGTGACCCCAGTATTTAAAACTGGAAATAAGCATTCTATGGAAAACTAACGGCCAATAGCAATTATTCCACAATTTTCAAAAATACTCGAGAAATTATTTGTGTACCAGCTAGATGTATATATTACTCTAAAAATAAATTATTAAGTGACAGTCAATATGGATTTAGAAAATAACAGAACCACTACCTATGCGATAATGCAGATGGTAGAAGAAATAGCCCAAGCAAGTGAAAGCGAAGAACTCTCTATTAGCATATTTGTTGATTTAAAGAAGGCTTTTGACACCATTGACCACAAGAGATTATTGAAAAAGATGGAAAATTATGGCCTACGAGGTATAGCGAAGTCCTGGATAGAGAGTTACTTAAAAGACAGACAACAGTATGTAAAAATTAAAGATATAAAATCTGGTTTTAGAGAAATAAGTTGTGGAGTTCCACAAGGGTCAGTAATAGGTCCTATATTATTTACTTTATATGTAAATGACATATGTAACGTGACAGATTTTTTCAAATTTATAATGTTTGCAGATGATACAAATTTAGTTTGTTCAGGTAAAGATGTAAAAGAACTTTTAAAGAAGGCCGGAAAAGAGTTAAATGTCCTCAAAGCTTGGTTTGATGTAAATAAACTATCACTGAATATAAAAAAACTAAATTTATGATCTTTGGAAATAAGAGGGTAAAAATTGGGGACTTTAAATTAACAATTTCAGATACTGAAATTGAAAGAGTGTCTGAAATAAAATTTCTTGGTGTTGTTGTGATTGACTCTAACTTATCTTGGAAGCATCATTTAAATTATATAAAAGGAACAATTCCCAAATCTTTGGGTCTATTATATAAGCTGAAGGACATACTAAACCATAAGGCCTTACGTCTAAGTCTGTTCACTAATACAACCATACATGGCATATTGTATAGAAAAATGGGGTTCAACTTTTAAAACATATATACATGAAATAAAAACTTTACAAAAGAAATCTATTCGAGTTATAAACAAGAGCAATTATTATGCTCATACTGACCCGTTGTTTTCAAAATAACAGATTATGAAATTAGAAGATCTATACTATTATAAAATAATGCAATTTATGTTTAGAGTAAAATTAATGGCTCTGCCAGAAAATATACTAATGTTTTTTGCAAATAGGGAAAGTAAATATGATTTAAGAGGTGTATGTATGTTCTACAAAAAGCCAAAAAGGGCATGAAAAGGAGATGTATAGCTGTAATGGGAGTAAAATTTTGGAATGAGTTTAAAATAGAATTAAAATTAGCAACTTCTCTTTCAGTTCTTAAAAAACTTATCAGTAAAAATATTTTTGAAGAGTATTAATTTGATGTTGATGGATGGATTTGTGTTTTATTTTTATTTGGGTTGTTGGTTCATTGCGGGAAATTGAAAAATTGTTTTGTAAGTAGGTTAGGCAATTATATAAGCTATTGCTTCTGCCTAAACCTATTCAGTCATGAGATACCAAATAGACACCATATACAAATGAATGCATATGTTAGCGAGAAATGGTATTTGTATCTATTTGTATGACATGTTATTGTACACATTATCTTAAGATGACTGAATAAATTGATCATTCATTCATTCATTCATTCATTCATTCATTCATTCATTCATTCATTCACTCAATGCTGCTGCTTTGGGCCCTGGCAAGATGGGCTGGGGTCTCCATGCCCTGGGTGGGATTTTGGCTACGGAGGTGCCTATTGGGGCAAGTGGGGGAGCTGGCTCCCTTGAAGGCTTAGGCCAACCAGCCATTCTTCCCCATCCCCACACATTTTTCTCCTCCTGCTCCCTCACATCATCACACAAACATGTACATAGGACTTTGGGGGGTGGACAAGTCAGGGGGTGCGGGTATGGACCCCATTTCCGCATTCCTGTGGCAGCCTGCCCCCCAATTTTATTTGCACATTAAACACTTCCACCAACGACATTCCAAGCAAACACACACTTAAGGCCTTGGGAGTAAGCACATACAACGGCATTTAGCAAGGGGATCTTTCAGCCTCATCCCAGGTGCCGGTGCCCACATCCAATTTGAATATGCACTTAGACACAGAGAGCTGTGGGGGAAGAGGGGTGGTGTGGTGGCATCAGCTGGTGTAGGCCATACTATGCCTGCACTGCCTGCTCATCATAGCCACGAATACACCTCATCAACACGCACCAACACTGTATTGGAGCAAGCGGAGGGTGACTAGAGGTCTTAGTACACCTCTGTTGTCGCTTGGCTTCCCGAGGCTGGAGGCTAGGAGGGGGAATCTTGCCATCTGGCTGGGGTCTGAATGGTGGGTCGCTTTGCTTGGCGCTGGGCGGGGGGAGCCTGCTCATCAGCACCCCAGCAGAAAGGGTCGAACTCTGGGAACCGGTGATGGTTGTACCCGTTGTACAGCAGTACCGGGACCAGAGTGAATAGGGTGTGTATGGGGAGTATGAGTGGGTGTCTGGCGTGTATTTTTGTGAGTCTTAGGTTGTATGTGTGAACATGAGGGAGGGAGTGTGTGACTGTGTTTGTGTATGACTGTATATGTCAGGTGGGGCCTTTGACTCCTCCCCTCTCCTGGGACTTCTTTTGCTGCTATGCATCTTCGCCTCCCCTCCCCCGTCACACTTGGTGTGGAGTGTGGTGTCTTGGTCTGCCTGAGTGTTCGCGGCTCCCGGGTCAGGGGGTTTAAGATTTTTAGCTTCTGCCTGATTAATCCCGGTGGCTGCCTGGTGGGATCTGGGTCCCTGGGCTCTGTCGGGTCCCCGGCGGGGCTGGTCACCCCATGGTCCCGGGTCGCTGGGTTCCGGGCTCGGCCGGCTTGGGGGTGGGAGGCTGCTCGCAGGCCTGTGGGCTTGCCGCTTATATCCCAGAGACTCTGCCGGCTGTTGGTTGTGGCCCCCCGTGGCGATCCTCTGCGCCTCTCGAGTGGGGCAGGGGCTTTTCTGGTCGCAGTCTCCCTGGGGTCCCTGCGCTCGGGGGCAACTCCTGGATCTCTGAGGCGGGTACGCACACAGGTGCTCAAATGGTGCTCTCATAAGCATGGACTTGGGCGCGTTCAACACATGTCGGCTGTGGTTGGCACTTAATGCACTGTGATTTATTATCATGATTGTTCAGTAAAACAATGTTTTTATATTTCCTCATCAGGTTGACGCAGTGATAGCTTGCGCCTGTTGTGTTGCTGTGTGTCCCTTTTCTTTTTTTTCTCTCTCCTTCTGCAGGTCTAGAAGCAGACTCTTGTTCATCATTGATTGTTTGTTTTTGTGGAACCCCCCCTTCCTTTTGTCTCTTCCTTTCTCTTTCACCTCTGTCTCCGTGTCTGGTCGGAATTACAAGCATTCAAAAAACAATAACATAAAGTTTTAAGTATCAGGCGTGACATTAAAAGCAGACGCTTTGATGCTCCAGCTGAGAGTAAATCTGTAAGGCTTGTCACCAGCATCCAGACATTAATTCTGTTTGCTTCACAGCCAGACAGGACACGGTGCAAAAAAAAAAAAAAAAAAACTTTTCTAAGAATTTAATGAAACAAATGCTTTTTTCTGGAGACATAGCCACATGACCCCGGTTTTGGCGCTCTTTCATTGGCTATCCGTTGCTTTTAGGATAAAATCTTGCTTTTCGCTTACAAAGCTTTGATGGTTTGGCACCTGCATACTTGTCAGACCTACTCACGCCCTATGTGCCAGCGCACTCACTATGGTCAGCTGACCGCCTGCTTCTCTACACTTAGATAATGCAATACAAGACAAGGAGGAGCGAGCCTTCGTGTATGTAGCTCCCGCTCTCTGGAATGCACTGCCTCTCACTATCTGGTGGTCACCATCCATTGATGTCTTCAAGTCCCAGTTGAAGACACTTCTATGATTTGGCTTTTAGGTAGTGATTTTTTTACATTGTTTTGATATCTCCTTTTATAAGTTTTTACTGTTTAATTGGTATTTTAATGTCTGTTTTTATGTTGTCAGCTCTCATGCTGTTTTTTTAAATGCACCATATGAATAAAGTTGGTATGGTATTTTATTAAACATTAGGAATTCATCTGAGGAAATGTTCTACTAGATACCACTAGCAGGATTTCTTAAAGTCTACAGAAGCATTCAAAGAGAAATGATTTAGGTTTTAAGTTGCAGTGATGCACAAAAACACCATTGAGCCTTATGTTGTTGTTTTTTTGTGCTCAAATCATTTATTGATGTGTGACAGAATTGTGCCGCCTTGCTGCTTTAAACCTTGTTATCAGATGCTGAAGGGATTTTACACAAACAAGAGATTCTGGATAAAATTCAGTGTTACCAGAATCGGCTGGATTTTTCTCTGACCATGCAGCAATGTGTGCTTAATCTGGTTAAATTTAACTTTATACTCAATATTTTAAAACATCAATGAGATTTGCTTGTCAAACTCTTTCCAGTAAATCTGCATAGGAACACGGATGTTGGTGTGAGACTGCTTACTTATCACAGTCATCTGTTTTTGCTTTCTGACTGCACATGACCTAGATATCTCCTGAGCTGACCTGAGATCAGAGTTAAATGTAAAGAAGGCATTCTTTTCTTGGTGTTTTGTGTCACAAAGAAGTAGGAAAACTTTCTCTATGGCTCTGATTTCAGCTGATTCAAGCCAAGAGGAATGTTTAGCTTAGCACAGTATTTTGACTTTGTAGAAAAAAGTTGAACCATATAATCTGTAGCCTGTAGAGTTTGCTGTGAAATCTTGCATTATTTCTTAATGATTTTCTCCTGTAATGTGTGTGTGTGTGTGTGTGTGTGTGTGTTATCAGTGTGGACAACTTTGGCCTGGGCTTGCTGCTGCAGACGAAGCAGATCAAGAGGATGATCTCCTCTTATGTTGGAGAAAATGCAGAGTTTGAGAGGCAGTATTTGTCTGGAGAGTTGGAAGTGGAGCTAACACCACAGGTTGGTCAGAAATGTACTCTTGTAAGATTGATTACATTTTTAGAGATGGACAATATATCGGCATTAATATCGGTATCGTCATTTTTTAACATATCGCATTGGTTCGATAAATAAAACTGGGCCTATATTAACAACCGATATTTTTTCCATCTCGTCTCCTTTGTTTGCCTGTTTCAGAGGGTGAGGGGGGTGATGTGTAATTGTTTAGTCATGAGAACAGTGAATGAAATCATCTCAGAACCGTAAACGTGTGTGGTGTGTGTACATAATAACGTAAATTGAGCTTTAATAATTTTCATTGTATACAAAATCTGCTGATTTTAGAAGCATTAATGTCAGTATATCGGTATCGGCAAATATCGGTTATCAGCCATAACAGTGATCTTAATATCGGATATCGGTATCGGCGCATCACTACAAATTTTATTATAAAATCTAATGATTCTTTCAATCAATCAATCAATCAATCAATCAATCAATCAATCAATCAATCAATCAATCAATCAATCAATCAATCAATCAATCAATCATCAATCAATCAATCAATCAATCAATCAACCAATCAATCAATACTTTATTAATCCCAGAGGGAAATTAGAGTTTCAGTACACACAATTCAGAGATCAGACATACATGGGCAAGACACATGACAAGAATTGGTGACTGTGGTCATTCACAACCCAAGTCGCGCTACCTTAATAGAGATAAGAGGGTTACATGAGGATTGGTTCAGGTGGAGGGAAAATAAGGCACTTCAGTTATCCTCCACCGGGAGGGCAGCTTTGCTCTGCAAAAAAACACCTCAAACAGATATGCAACAGACTTCAGACAACACAAAACATAACATGAGACTCCAATAGGAAGGTGTGTGTGTGTGTGTGTGTGTGTGGGGGGGGGGGGGGACGACTGGGAACCTGTTTCCCCGAGCGAGAGCAGCCATCTAAGGCGCTCATCTACTGTACAGTCACAGGTGGGAGGGAGATTGTGGGAGAAGCGAAGAGCACATTGACTGCTCCAGCTGATGACCTCGCCAGGCTGAAGTCCACCAATCCGAAGGCAGGGGGGGTAGGTCGGGTTTTCACAGCATGTCTGCATTCCTTTGTGGGGGTTTTAGTTGTTTGCAGCTCAAGGCTACCAGGGCATCAGATTCAGATAACAAGAATTTGTTTGGGTCAGGCTGAGATAATTTTCCTCTCTGCCTTCAGTCTTTAAACTGATCATTCCAGTCCTTCAGTAAAGGCAATTTTGGGTTTTAAACTTGTCCATACCATCCAGTGACTCTGAGATTACATCCATTTTGCACACTAATACCGGTATCGCAGCTAGAACATTGTCCAGCTTACGATTCACCTCGAGTAACGTCCCAGTCTGAGAAGTCTCCACACGGACGGTGCTTTCTGCGGGTGCGGGTCGCCCTCCAATCGCTCCCGTCCTCCCAAATTTCCAGAAAACCAAATATCCTCCCACTCCAATCAGGAGAAATCCAGTGATCATCAGACCAAATATGCACATGTCTTCGATGTCCTCAATGGACAGCTGGGAGAGGCATATGATCTTCCACTCCTTTCAGGAATCCAGCATATATCCCACCGGGTGTGTCCCCTGTGGACATGTGGGAGCCCCCTGCTCCATTCTCATTGTTGAAAAAAATCTTATCGATCGCATTGAATGACCAGTTTATCAAATCCATGGTTAGTAAAAAATAGTTTTCCAGAAGTAATGCAGAGAAGCGCTCTGTTTGCAGACAGGACAAAGAGCCTTGGGAAAAGAAAGATAAGGGAGTGAAAGAGAGAAGCGCCTGTACTCCTCGAGTGCCAGAAGAGAACACGAGATTTCTTGATTTTATTCACTTTTTGTTTGCATTTCTAAAGACTTACAGGAACTTTTGCTTGAGCTTTACAGTATTTCTTTGCTGTCTTCCTATGGTCCATCATTCAGCAGCTCTATGACAGTAAGATTGACGACTGGAGACAGAATGTAACTCAAGGATGTGGATGTTTTTATCGCAGGTTCAGTCTTGGGTTTAGCATCTGAACGCCGGTGGTGGAAATGAGGCTTCCACACTCATTTTTTTTATCTGTCACTTATTTTCTACAGGGTACTCTTGCAGAGAGGATCAGAGCAGGAGGTGCTGGGATCCCAGCCTTCTTCACAGCCACCGGCTATGGCACGCTGATCCAAGAGGGAGGCTCTCCTATTAAATATAACAAAGATGGCAGCATTGCCATTGCCAGTGAACAGAGAGAGGTGAGAGAGTGGAACGGACGCCGCAGAGGAAAAACCACTAACTTAGTAAAGAGGTTTAGCAGTACACACTCATGTCCTGCTGATGATTGCTGGCATGAGTGATTTTAGAAGGGGAGTCAGTCTGCTGCTATGAGATGCAGCAGTCCCAACTGTCCAAATTTGTAAACCTACAGGAGTTTGTTGCCGAGATCAGGTGACTGGGCGAATTTATCGACCGTCGGTTATAATTGGAGCCCTTCCCTGATCGTTGTCTTTTACGAGCGATATTATTTTTATGCCTATCAATTAGGCCTAGTCCACACGTAGCCGGGGTTTTTTAAAAACGAATATCTGCCCCTCCAAAAACTTGCATCCACACCACCGCGTTTTAAAAACAAACTCTGTCCACACGTACCTGGATAGATACGTTGTTAAGGACATGCCACACCTGTAGGTGGTAGTACTTCCCCGTTCTTAACCTCGTCCTTCGTCTGTGGTCTTCCGCAAGGAGCAGTAATTCCGCTTGCAAAAACAAACAAGCAAAAAGCGCTTGGACAATTGATGGATCGGGTAGTGACAGAGCGCAGCTCTGAGGGCATCCATGCTGTCGGCTAGTGTAAACACAGGTCACACACGTGATATCAGCATTTTTTTGTCGCGGAAAGTGACGTTGCGGACCTTAAAACTCCGGTTTTGTCCGTCCACACGCAGACACCCAAAACGGAGAAAACGCAGATCTTCACTTTGGCCGGAGTTTTTAAAAAGAGCCGTTTTCGTGTGAAAAAACTCCGTTTTCGTGTGGATGACAGGCCAAAACGTAGAAAAATATCTACGTTTTGGCAGATCCCCGGCTACGTGCGGACAGGGCCTTAGTCTCGTGGATGGGACATCGCAAGGGACCACTATGTAAACATATTGTGCCTCATTAGAATGCTGAATCAAGTACTGACGAATATTGCTTAGAAATATTTTATTTATGCTGTCCAACCTCATTGGTTGTTGCCTTTCAGCCAATATCAACGTAAAATCCATCTACTTGGTTTCTATGATTCATTTTACTTCGGCTCCATCAGTAGCTACACCTTTCCCTTACCTCTGCCACAATACCAGCTCTTAAACTAATAATCCAGAGAATATTCCTCCTGTAAGTTCACGCACACAGATGCACACATGATAGATCTGTTTCTGTGTGACCTGATGCTGTTTTGCCTCTTCCTCTTTGTAAAGCTAACCCACTTTGTTACCATCCTACTGATCCTCTACAAGATAAATGATCAGTCTGTTTTTTAGCAGATTCTTGCACCTCGGGAAGATCTACTTTGATCATGAAGGCAGCCTAGTGGACTAACTAGCTGGCATAATCAACTACGTAGTGGCAAAAATATCGTACCCTGTTTTTGACATTATGGGGTTAGCATGGATTTGACCTGAATTCAGCTTTGATGCATTATGGAGTCCTGATTTCAGACCCAGCTAAGCAATCTGAATTTGGAAAGCAACAAAAACATCTTACGCTGTAGTTCCACAATTATTAAAAACAGCAGTTAACCAAGTCCTTTGTCTTTTAACGTTTTATGCAGGTTTTGTCTTACATGTAACATAATTCCAACGAGTACGTCTGGATTCTAATACAAAGAAGAAGTCTTAAAGTCTAATCCACCTTCTGTCTCACTTTTGGATGAGTGTGCAGGTGCGGGATTTCAACGGCAGGCACTACATCATGGAAAAAGCCATCACTGGAGATTTTGCCCTGATCAAGGCTTGGAAAGCTGACAAAGCAGGAAACGTTGTCTTTAGGTAATTCGTTTAAAAAAATGGAATAAAAATGGTACTACTAACACATTTTTACTGATTTAAGGTAAAGAATCCTGCAGATGGGTCAGCTTTTTCTTGGATTAAGCTAGTCCTTAAAGTTACAGCTGGTGGAGTGTCAGCTTTTTCTCGCTGAGTGTGTAAGTTCTGGAATAAGTGGGCTCACGTTGACATATTGTTGGATAGACATTTTTGTGGTTTAGGAGATACATTTATGACAGTAATCATCAACAACCTACAATAAAATAAAATAGTTTTGTTTTAATTATATACTTCTAGTCAAAGCTTTAGAAAAAAAAATCTAAATATCAATATTTAGTTTTGCGGTCAAATTAGGAATTTCTTAGGATGTTTTGAATTCTAGATGCACTTTTTCGGCATTAATTTGAACAGGTCTTATTGTAGATAGTGAAGTTTTGTATTTCTTCCACAAGAGAGCAGTATTCTGCAGGAAACTTCTACACAATGAGCTGGTTAATGAGAGCCTTTAAAAAAAGAATTTGTGTTATTTGATTTTGGTCTGCATGTAATACGTTTTAACATCAGATCTGCGTCGGTTTTGTGTCTGACAGGAAAACAGCCAGAAACTTCAACCAGCCCATGTGCAAAGCAGCCAAAACCACAATTGTTGAGGTATGTCCTTAGTTATGTGCAGAGACGTGCTGAACTTTAGTTGAGATGTTGCATCGATGCACAGGAGATGGGAGAGTGTCATAACATCCTAAAGATGCTTCTCACTTCTGCCCTATGAATCAAAGTGATGCCTTGTGCTCTATGATCCATCTGAGCCTGATGACTCCTGGTTTTCTCATTCTGTGTGAGAAGCAACAATCTCACATAGAAGTGCCTCACTCCACCTTTTGCACCAAGTAATAAAAAAAACTGCAGCTATTAAGAAAATATGTTTAATGAATATAAACAACTGGAATTGGAACATCTCAAAAGACACACAGTTGTATACGTTTATTTTTCTGCCTTTATAATAATAATAATAATAATAATAATAATGCATTGAACTTATATAGCGCTTTTCTAGACACCCAAAGACGCTTTTCACACACTCTCACATTCACACACTGCTAGTGATGGTAAGCTGCTTGTAGCCACAGCCGCCCTGGGGAGGTCTGACAGAGGCGAGTCAGCCATTTGACGCCGTCGGCCCCTCTGACCACCACTAACACAGGCAAGTTGGGTGAAATGTCTTGCCCAAGGACACAGCAGCAGGATACCCCTGGCGGGAGCTGGAATCGAACCCATGACCCTCCGATCATGAGGCAACCCGCTCTACCACCTGAGCTACTGCTGCCCCTAAATTATATTCCTTATAAGGGACACTTCACAACTTTTTCATATTTTAAAATCATTTTTTGAGCCAGTATGAGCTAAAATGGCCCTTTACAGGGTTAATGAAATGTCACTTATAACTCCCACCACCCTCTGTCGCCAGAATACCGCATTTGCAACTTCATAGTGTCAGTCCGGTCTGCTGGACTTAAAAAAAAAAAAGAGGTACTTGGCAATAAAGTCTACTTTCAGCACATTTCCTGCATGTTTTATATCATGAACACAGCTGATTTGTTTAATTTAGTGATAAACCGCTCCTGTAGATACTAATGAAGGCTGGGGAGACACATCAGCTCTTGGATTAAGGTGTTAAAAAGACACAGTGAGGGGATACGTTTTGCATTTTGGTTCTACTAAATGGACACTAGGGGGTGCTAAAACAAGCCAAAACTGCCTACTCTCCCTTTAATGTTTGTTTAACCTATAATAATGCTGAAAACAAAGCATTAAACTGGCCTTTACACTTTAGATAAAGTATTTGTTGTCAAGGTTTGAAACTATAAAATGTCCCGTTTTAACAAAAATCTGAGTTGTAATACTCTGTGCCAATAATAGAGGATGTCGTGTTATCTCTGGGCTGTCCATGACATGACTGGTTTCAGTCTGTCTTGTTTCCCACTTTTCTAGCTTTTGACAGTGAAGAATTGCCATCAGTCGTGTGTGTGTGCGTGTGCGCGCGCGTGTGTGTCTCATGCTCTGCTCCTACACAAACAGCTCCACACCTCCCATATAGACTGTGCTTGATTCAGAGAACAGCAGGAAGTAGCAACTGTGTGAAAAACCATAAAATAAGGAACACTTTTCTGAAAATACATCAGAAGGCTTAGCTCTCTTTATAAACCTGAATGCCACACAGCACATTTTCAATTATTCTGCTGTTGCTGGACCTGAGATTTGGACTGCTGTTGATTAGAAATGCCTTAAAACAAATGAGGAAAGTAACTTGTTTGACCATGGAGCTGTTGTGGACTTATCATTGTAAACCAACACTTATGCTTATTAATTGAAATAACTTTTTTACTTTACCTATTTGATGCAGTGCAGCTTGTTACAGCTTGTTATGGTCACAGTCACATTAGTTATGACTTAAACCATGCCGGGGTTTTGTTTTCCTGTCACAGAAGAATTAAATAGTTAAAGAGTAAACATTCTCGGAAATGGCAGTTTAAGCAAACTACAGTTTAAAAAAAAAAAAAAAATTGAAGATTCAACCCATTTTCTTCAGACCCCCCCAACTTCCAGAAACCACCCTGATCTGCTCTCAGCCCACCCACCCCCTGCACATGCCAAGCCAACTGTCAAACGGCCCAACCAGCCGACAGAGGAGAGGCTGTGTTCACAGGCAACAGGTCTGTCACCTAAATGTTTGTTTCCAAACAAGAACAGAACCAGACTCTGAAATGAACATGCAAAACAACTCTTTAATTGAACACAAAGCAGTTTCCTGCTCATTCACCCTACTGGTTGAAAGTGGGATTACAACTGTCGTAAAAAAACCTGCAGCAGCCAGGTGTAGCTAGTTCCAACGAGCTAACACTAACATGAGCCAACTAATACTGAAATAAGCCACAAAGTAAAAAGAGCCACATTGTTGGAAAAAAGTATTGCTTACAAGTCCAGTAGCAACAAAGCTAGGTCAGCATCAGTCCATGATTTTGTAGCCTCCTTTAGCTCAAACTAGTGTGGGCTGCGCCAATGTTCACTTTGATTTTAGCTCTTTGTTTTGCCTCCAACGTCATTATTCTCTTGCATTTATTTCCAGGCTCCATCATGATGTCAACAGATTAAGTAAACTTCTCCTTTTTATGCTTTTTAATGACGATCAGCGAACTGAAAATGCTAACCACTAGCATTACAGCTAACAGCCTGTAAGCAGGTATAGAGCACCTCCTAGGTAGAGCCCTGCACTGAAGCCCTAGGCCCTCGGGTCGGCCCGAGGGCCAGGCTTCGGGCCAAAGACTGTGTAATTACCTCGGACACGGGCCGGGCCGGGCGCCTTTATTTTTAACTGAATTCATTAAAAAAAACTGAAACACTTGAACGCAGCAGCACCTGCCTGCTTCTCACGCACCGTTAGCTCAGGTCTGTGTGGTTTATAAATGCGCCTATATAAACAAATTCTCAAACTGCTGATTGAAACATGTGCCCGTTCTAATATGCCATTTTATGTCCACTTTGATATGTCAGAAACCATTCGTTTGTTCTCATGAAAACGGTCATTATTCTATTTTTCTGTGAATAAATTCGCTCTGCAGTTAAAACACAGCATTCATTGCTGTTTTTTTCTCCTAACTGGAGAGCGCATTTTCCGAGCGGCAGATTAAATTTACAAACGCTAATTGGGGGCGTTTATTTAATCTGCCGCTCTGAAAATGCGCTCTGCAGTTAGAAAATTAGAATGCTGCTTTTTTTACTAATTGCACAAGAGCGCATTTTCAGAGCAGATTAAATTTACAAACGCATCCAATTAATATAGTGTTCGTAAATTTCATCTGCCGCTCGAAAAATACGCTCTGTTAGAAAAAAAAGCTGCATTGAATGCTGTTTTTCTTTCTTTTCTTTTTTATTTCATTATTATTTTTTTTTTTACTGCAGAACGCCTCTCACAAATAATTAGAACGCTGAGCATTCTATCACACTAAAACATTATGAAAGGTAAAAAAAAAAAGTCGGGCTCGGGTCGGGCCAGAGAATCCTGAAAACCTTTTCGGACCGGGTCGGGCTGGGGTTCCACCCCCTCGGGCCGGGCTGGACACGGGCTCAGATTTTAGGCCTGTGCAGGGCTCTGTGCTGTAGAACACAGGTGGGTTTCACCAGAAATGCCTGTTTCTGAACCAAAAACAGAGAAAACAGGCTTTTTGAGTCAAGAGAGATGTAACGCAGTAAACTTTGACACCAATATACTTTGCTTTATTTACACCGCAGACACCCCAAAAGCAGTTACCTTGTGTAGAAATTGTAAAACCAAACTATAAAATTGTTTTTGACAAGAAATTAGATGTTTATTCACAAATGTGTAACAATAAATAATCATTTTTGTCAAAAGGTAACAATTTCATTTGCTGGCATGCAGTCTTACAGAAAGTGCTGTTGTAGTTATAGCCGTGTGTGTGTGTGTGTGTGTGTGTGTGTGTGTGTGTGTGTGTGTGTGTGTGTGTGTGTGTGTGTGTGTGTGCGCGCGCACTTCTACCCCTGCACAGAGACAGAGTATCTCACTGTAGTGTGGTAATCTATATAACACTGTCCTGCGTGCAAGGGGACACAACAGACCTTGCACATCATGTTCGTGTCTCTGCGAGTTCCTCTGCGTGTGCAGACCCTACATCTTTTTGTTAGTCTCAACTTCTTACTGGTGGGTTTCAGGTAACAGAGTTTGTGTCTGCCAAGGTCTCCATCTAGCCTGCTCTCTGGGTCAGTGTTATAGGGTGCTCTCAGAGTATGTTGGACATCCTCCAAGTCCCCATCCTCAACACCTGCTCCTTCCTCTTCCTCTACCTGTTCCCCCACCTCACTCCCTTTCCGCTCATGTACCTTCAAGGTCCAGGACTTCACTACACTACGAATGAACTTCAAAAGAGTGTTACATCCCCCTGGGTTTCTGGCTCGGTACAGGATTTAGGCGTTGAACATGCACATTTGGAACAGATAGGCAACAAACTTCTTGGACCAGTTCAGTGACCTGCGGATGAAGGGGTGGTAGGAAATGTTTTGGTCCAACTTATCCACTCCATTCATGTGAGAGTTGTATGCAACAATACACTCTGGCTTGAACTGAGCAACCTTGTCTTTGTGCCCCTTCTGCCACACATCAACTTTCTGCATCCCATCTTGGTGGCAGGTTGTCACCATCTTCACTAATTGTTTGTCCTGCCATGCTACTACCATGACTTTGTCATTGTGCCGCACAACTTTATCCCCAGTCCCTAGATCGGTTTTTACCAAATCCCTGATGACCTGAGGCTCCCCCCTATTCTTCCTCAGTGTTCCACAGACATTGGTCTGTGCTTCCAGTAAGCGCTCACACAATGCTACAGAATTGTAGAAGTTATCCATATACAGTGTATAGCCAGGACCTGAAAGGCGATCAAGAAGAGAAAACATGGTGTCTGGCAAACTACTACCTTCCCCAAAATAAGGCCTCATATTGAAACAATAACCTATTGCAGAGTCACACAATACGTAGGACTTGATTCCGTATTTCACAGGCTTTTGTGGGTTGTACACCCTGAAAGATAAGCGCCCTCGCCACAGCTTCATACCCTCATCAATGCAAATGTTTTTGTCTGGCT